ATGATATATATTTGTGTGAGTACTTTATGGATCCTGGATACACACATTATTTATTAATCTGCTCCTGGTTAAAGGAGTTGTGTAGTCATAGCATACACTTTCATTTTGTAACATCAACATTGTAAATCATCACTTTTTGTCTCCTATGTGATGAAATAAAAAAAGTAAAAAAAAAAAAAATTTTTTAATTGTAAAACATTAAAGTTGCACCCAAACATATAAAATCCCCTCCCAAAAATGTGAGGCCCACCCCCACATATATGCACATCCGAACATAACTGCACACATCGGGGACGCGTATGTTGATTGCAATACACAGGTTACCTATCGTCCAGAGTGAGAGTAATAGTTCTAGCACCAGCACTCATTAGTAACAGTAAACTGATGACCTACAGTTGCAAGAAAAAGTATGTGAACCCCTTGGGATTACGTGGAGTTTTGCATGAATTGGGCATAAAATGTGCTCTGAACGTCATCTAAGTCACAACAATAGAAGAACACAGTCTGCTGAACATAATACTACACAAACATTAGATGTTGCCATGGTTTAATTGCACATAACATGTAAACATTCACAGTGCAGGGAGGAAAAAGTATGTGAACCTTTGGACTTAATAACTGGTTGACCCTCCTTTTGGCAGCAATAACCTCAACCAAACGTTTCCTGTAGTTGCAGATCAGACCTGCACAACGATCTGGAGTAATTTTGGACCACTCCTCTTCACAAAACTGTTTCAGTGTAGCAATATTCTTGGGATGTCTGGTGTGAATCGCTCTCTTAAGGTCATGCCACAGCATTTCAATCGGGTTGAGGTCAGGACTCTGACTGGGCCACTCCAGCAAGCGTATTCTGTGCTATTGCAGCCATTGTTTTGTTGAATTACTTGTATGCTTTGGGTCATTGTCCTGTTGCATCACCCATCCTCTGCGGAGCTTCAGTTGGCAGACAGATGGTCGTACGTTTTCCTGCAAAATGTCTTGATAAACTCTGGAATTCATTTTCCTATCAATGACCACAATCCGTCCAGGCCCTGAGGCAGCAAAGCAGCCCCAAACCATGATGCTCCCTCTGCCATGTTTTACAGTGGGGATGAGGTTTTGATGTTGGTGTGCTGTGCCTTTTTTTCTCCACACATAGTGTTGTGTGTTCTTCCCAAACAACTCAATCTTGGTTTCATCTGTCCACAGTATATTTTGCCAGTAGTGCTGTGGAACATCCAGGTGCTCTTTTGCAAACTTCAAACGTGCTGCAATATTCTTTTTGGACAGCAATGGCTTCCTCTGTGGTGTCCTCCCATGTACTCCATTCTTGTTTAATGGTTTCCTTATTGTAGATGTGTCAACAAAAATGTTAGCATGTGCCAGAGATTTCTGTAGGTCTTTAGCTGACACTCTGGGATTCTTCTTTACCTCATGCAGCATTCTGCACTGTGCTCTTGCAGTCATTTTTACAGGACGACCACGCCTAGGGAGAGTAGCAACAGTGCTAAACTTTCTCCATTTGTAGACTGTCTTACCGTGGACACATGAACATCAAGGCTTTTGGAGATACTTTTGTAACCCTTTCCAGCTTCATGCAAGTCAACAATTCTTGATTGTAGGTCTTCTGAGAGCTCTTTTCTGTGAGGCATGGTTCACATCAGACAGTGCTTCTTGAAACCAGTAAACCCAAAACAGGTGTGATTTTTTTAAGGGCAGGACAGCTGTCAGCAACACATCCAATATCATCACACTGATTGGAGTCAAGGTTGGCTCACTCCTGGCTCCAATTAGCTCTTGGAGAAGTCATTAAGCTAGGACCTCACATACTTTTTCCTCCCTGCACTGTGAATGTTTACATGTTATGTGCAATTAAACCATGGCAACATCTAATGTTTGTGTAGTATTATGTTCAGCAGACTGTGTTCTTCTATTGTTGTGACTTAGATGACGTTCAGAGCACATTTTATGCCCAATTCATGCAAAACTCCACGTAATCCCAAGGGGTTCACATACTTTTTCTTGCAACTGTATAGGGGGCTTTTAAAGTGTTACTATTAGAAAAATATAGGGTACGGAAGTTTATCTCCATTTTACGGGCCCATGCAAATTGAAGGTTTGGCATGTTGGCTTCTATTTACTGTGTAAGCTCATCTTTTATATTTTACCAAAAAAGTGGGTAATTTTATTGTGTTTGTGTGCCTTAAAATAACTTTAGTGTATTTTTTACTGAAACTATGTGGTAATATTGTGTGATGTAAAAAAATTGGAACTACGCTATTTTATTGTCTAGGGCAGTGGTCGGCAAGCCGCGGCTCGCGAGCCACATGCGGCTCTTTACAAACTTAAATGCGGCTCTTCTGTGTGCCGGCCGCCCGCTCCCCTCCCTCCTCTCGGGCGGCCGCCCGCCTGCTCCCCTCCCTCCTCTCGGTCGGCCGCCCCCCTCCCCTCCCTCCTCTCGGGTGGCCGCCCCCTCCCCTCCCTCCTCTCGGGTGGCCGCCCCCCTCCCCTCCCTCCTCTCGGGTGGCCGCCCCCTCCCCTCCCTCCTCTCGGGTGGCCGCCCCCTCCCCTCCCCTCCCTCCTCTCGGGTGGCCGCCCCCTCCCCTCCCTCCTCTCGGGTGGCCGCCCCCTCCCCTCCCTCCTCTCGGGCGGCCGCCCCCCTCCCTCCTCTCGGGCGGCCGCCCCAAAAGTCAGGACTCTGCAGCTGTCAGGATGTAGGCAGCGTGACGAACTCCTCTCCTCTCACAGTCCGCCCTGAAGACCAGAACGGCGCGGGAACACGGCGAGAGGAACGCGCGGAGCAAAGGTAAGTGAATTGACACAGGGGGGACTTACTATAGGGGGGATGAATTACTATATGGGGAATGAATTACTATATGGGGGACTTACTATATGGGGGATGAATTACTATATGGGGGATGAATTACTATATGGGGGATGAATTACTATGGGGGATGAATTACTATATGGGGGATGAATTACTATATGGGAGATGAATTACTATATGGGAGATATATTTTCAGTTTTAAAAATGTGGCTCTCAAAATAAATTTCAATCGTGGTTTTGGCGAGATTTGGCTCAGTTGAAAAAAAAGGTTGCCCACCACTGGTCTAGGGTGTCTACTTTTAGAAAATATATCATTTTTTGGGGAGTTTTCAGGACTAAAATTGATTTTTAAACGTGTGCCAAAAATGGCTCTGGCAGCGAAAGGGTCTGTGCCTCAGATCCTTGCTGATTTTTTTGCCTGTAGAGCATATATTACAATCTGTGTCATGCAGAGTGCTTAGGCGGAAAACCAGGTAAGACTTAGAACTAGGTAAGTACCTGGGGTGATGTTGCTGTAATGGCACTTCCTACATTCCTGCCAGTGCTACTATGAATTGTAAATTCTAAGGCTAATGGTCGCTTGGTTCAGGGAACAATGGGATATTTAGTGGGAAGGTGGACAGGCCTCTGGATGACTGCTGGACCGTAGTCACCCAACTAGGTTGACTAGGGGTGTATCTGACTTGGAGCAGAAAAATTTTAAGAAACATATGGTATGGTCAGAAATGTAGTGAGCCATGCTAGAGCAGTGCCTTTTAAATAAAAATAGATTGCAGTTTGGATGAGAATTTGGTAGTCAATAGCAACAGACTATGAAACTGGTGGTCAGCTGAGGAAGAAGAGAGAAAATGTTAAAAAACCCAGGACCCTGCATTCACTGAATCTGGTCTCCCACAGTACATGGAAATAAAATTATTTTAGAAAATATATACTGCTAAATAACTTTTCTCTTCAGCAGTATATAGTAGTCTTGTGACTTCTATCAGTGCCCAGCAGCATTCTGCTCTAGGAGGATGCAGGACCCCTGACTTCTATCTGGACAGTGCTGTTTGGCCCTGTACTGATAATATGCCCTCTCCCAAGTAAAAAAAAAAAAAAAAACCTCTCCAGCAATACACACCGAACTGAGCATGTGCAGAGTGACTCCACGCGATATGTCTTATCAGGAGTTAAGAGGGTGCACTGGAAGAAGGGGGGGATCAGAAAAGACAGGATCAAACAGCCTTTTTACACAATGCGGAAGATTAATTCCTTTGGTTCCACAATGAGCATAACAAGCATGCTTTACTGCATATACAGACTGGTTTTACTGTTTTGGGTTTAGTAACACTTTTTAAGGCTTGTCCAATAATGGATGCCAACAGGGCTTGTTTGGAATTGGAAGGGTGGGAGGAAAAAGTTGAGAATTGAGCAACTGCTGCAGAACAGGTAGGGTCTTGTTCTTTATCTGTCATTGATTGTTTAAACTTAGATATAGTTGAGGTGATCAGCCAATAAGCAGTGTAGTAGACGCTAGTGCTTTTGTTTGGGTGTGTGCATTTTTTAATATAATTAACAGGGACTCTATTAAACACCTGAACAGGTTATGTCTCTGTTGTGGGATCCTGTGTCATCATTGCAGAACCAGTTGTTTTTAAATTGCCCTGTAGAAATTAATCTACTAAATGTAATTCTAGTTGAATTAATCTCTGGAGTAAAACTGGTTACATTTGTATGCATGTAGTGTGATTCATCATTCTCTTCATCAAGCATAAGCACAGATGTTATCAAATCATTCCCTCCCTGTGCAGACTTAGATTTTGTCATTCTTTCATGTAATCCCAGGCAGACTCCAATGAGCTTTTCTTTCTACTTTGTCTTTAAATGATTGAAGACAATAGGAATATGAAAATATTTACACTACACATACTGTATATATGATTTCAAACCTGCACTAATAAATTAAAGTTGTCTTTAATCAATACCTTGAATCTGATTTTGTTTTTTGTTTTGTTTTTTTAACAAATGGAGCATACCAAATATATAATGAGATGTTTTTGTGTTTGTTTGTTTTTCTCCCTTTATTTATCTATATCCACCCCTATCTGACATTTTTTGCACATCCTCAGGAAGTTATCAACTATTTCAGCAGTTTTCAAATGTTTATGATCTTGTGGTAAAAGCTAGTGTATTCATGTCATGCTGTTTGCTTTAGGACGTATCTGGAGGAGATCACAGCTATTGATTCTAGGACAGTGGGGAGCCCTGCAAATGAAATCCTTGCAGTCAACTATATATTGGAGAGGATCAAAGACATTCAGAAGCAGAAAAACAAGGTCCACAAGATAACCGTAGATATACAAAGACCTACTGGGTCATTCAGCATCAACTTTCTTGGAGGTTTCACCAGTTACTATGATAACATAACTAATATAGCTGTGAAGTTGGAACCAGCACGGGGAGCACAGCATGCTGTACTTGCAAACTGTCACTTTGATTCAGTTGCCAACACCCCAGGTAAGGAGATCATTGGCTAGTTTGTCTAGAAACCGTAATCATTTCCTTTAAACTCTTTGCTGTTTTCAGTAAAGTTACCTCTAGTCTTTACTAGATAAAGAATAATGACAGGTGAAACAAAGTTATACATGTCAAAGTTCACCACCAGTGACACTTAAGGCAATTCACAGCTTCAACTCTTGCTTGTACAAAGCTTCCCTGTCCTTACTCTGACTATCTAAATAATGAATAATAGATTGGCAGCTGATAAATCCTTTATTGCAGGTTAATGTGTACACATTAAAGTAGCAAGCAAAGTGAACAATGTAAAGTAAATGAAGGAAAATGATTTCCATTTAATTATTGTAAAGAAATATGTACTCAATGACTTCTCAGAAAATCAAGTAGTATCTTTCTGAAATACTTGTCATGAACATTAAGAATGAACATATTAATTGCTGCATGCCTGTTGGCTTTCTGCAGGTGCCAGTGATGATGCTGTAAGCTGTGCAGTACTACTTGAAATCCTAGGATCACTGTCAAGTACGCCACTTTCTTTGAAACATGCAATTATATTCCTGTTCAATGGTGCGGAAGAAAATATTCTACAGGTATCCATCTAGTCCTCCAATCTTTACTACTTATAGACACTTAGTAATTAGACTCTAACTTGTGTCTGGAATATGTTAGCAACTCTTAAGACCAACACTGTTAGACGAAAATTCCATTGTGTGCTGAATATTTTCAACTGAAAGCTGTTTTACAGCTTTCAGTATTGGGTATTTCCGTTATACTCCAGCTTCCCTGTCCGAAAACACAAATCCATGGACCCCACCGCTGATCATGCAGGAAATAGACAGCACCAGACTCTGTCTTAAGACAGGAAGTCAACTGCTTTATTTTAACACAAACACAAGATATATACACAGGGCGGGGAAATACAACCAGGAACAGGAAACACATCAGCAGGCCATCCCATCAGGGGGAGGGCTGCTGGTAACACCCCCCACCAAACCAAGACACGCAATAGAACAAAGGGATAACCACATGGCAGTAGACAATACAGGAACACCTACATCCCATAATAGTTTGCTGGCCAGCAAGACACACGTGCAAGACATGCAGCGCGTGGCAGTGAACAATGGACATTCCACCCTGTACCCCTAACAGGCACAGGGTGGCTTGCACATAAGAGGAACATGAGGAGATGATACAGGGGTCCCCCCACCCCCAAAAGTTACTCCCATCACACCTCTGTTATACAGTTTGCTTAGTTTTTTTACTTTTCAACAGTTTGCATTTCCTAGCCTGCACATTTTTATAATATTTTGTAGGTAATATTGCAGCTTTGAATGGGTTTGGATTGAACATTTCATACTTTACTATGTATTATATTACTTACAATGTGATAGAGATCAGTGTTTAAAAAAAGACTAGAAAAACTTAATATAAATAAATCACCAGGACCAGACCTGAGCGCTCTCAAAGAAATTGGTCATGTCATAGCCAGACCATTGCATTAGTTTTTTAAGGACCGCTTACTGACTGGAACTGTTCCAGCTGGTTGGCGAAAAGCAAATGTGAAATTATTATTTAAAAAGGACAAAGATGTATACCTGGAAACCACAGACCAGTCAGTCTAATGCCAACTGTAAACTTTTGAAAGAAATAAGGGACCATATCCAAGAAATTGCTGGTGAGAATAGTGTCATAAGTAGTAACCAACATAGTTGTTTGCCAGACCAACCTTTTAACTTTTTCCTATGAGATGGTAAACTGTAACTTGGATAGAAAGATCGGTGGGGTAGTGTATTTAGATTTTGCTAAGGCTTTGTTTACAGTACCCCCAAAAGCTTAACCACTTGCCCTCCAGAGGATTTACCCCCCTTCCTGACCAGGCCATTGTTTGTGATACGGCGCTGCATTACTTTAACTGGCAATTGCGCGGTCATGCAGTGCTGCACCCAAATTAAATTTATGTCCTTTTTCCCACAAATAGAGCTTTCCTACGGTGGTATTTAATTGCCTGTGCAGTTTTTTTTTTTCTCTTTGCATTATAAACAAAAAAAATACCGACAATTTTGAAAAAAAAACTATTATTGACTTTTTGCTATTTAAACATGTCCAGTAAAAAAATGTAAAACAAATTTCAGCATAAATTTATGCCAAAATGTATTCTGCTACATGCCTTTGCTAAAAAAAAAAAACAATATGTGTAAATTAATTAGTTTATGAGAAAGTTATAGCAGTTACAAGTGGCAGTATATATACTGGAATTTTGAGGTTTTTTTTTTTACTAGTAATGGCGGCGATCAGCAACTTATAGCAGGATTGCAGCGGCATTCTGAAACTGGGGGGAACTGACTTGGTGTCACTGACATCCTCAGTGACACCAATACAATGATCAGTACTAATAAAAAGCACTGACTCTGTACTAATGGCACTGGGCAGGAAGGAGTTAACGTGGGGCAATCAAAGGGTTAACTGTATGCTGTTGTACTATGAGGCTGTGTTTCACTGTAAGCACACTGCTTTGTATGGCTCTGCTATGCAAAGCCATACAAAGCAGTGTGCAGGAGCTGACTGGAGAGATCTGTATCGTTTACATACAGGTCTCTCCCCTGTCAGAAATCCTCGGAGATTGCCAGGTGCCTGCGCATAAATTACCGGCTGGGACTCGGTGATGGACAGCCTAGGCGGCGAATAGCAGCGCACGGGGCACCCCCTACCTGACACTGCAAAATTATGTGTGTGTGTGTGTGTGTGTGTGTGTGTGTGTGTGTGTGTGTGTGTGTGTGTGTGTATATATATATATATATATATATATATATATATATATATATGATTTTGCGCACCCGTGCCGCCCTGTAGCAGTATTTCTGCTATAGGGTTGTGCGGAAGCGGTTAATTTACAAATTAAGGTCTTTTGGCAAGTTATAAATCGACCACACCTCACATCCAAGATGATTCTGATACCGATTCCCTCCATTTGTTTTGCATTAAAGTTGGTGGCATTGCAACACTGTTCACCAATATGATTTTATGTGGGGTGTAGTGCACCCCACATGTTGAAAGGTGCATGTTTTGCACTGTTTCTAACAAATGATATAATTAGAACCACAAAAATAATGTCTGCTATTAAAACTCCAGTAGCAAATGAATTGATAGTTTTGCTGATCACATATAAATGACAATATCTACATGTATTTGTTCCACACTGATAAGATCCTGGATTAGACAACCAAGTTTTAGAGCTATCCTTTGAACTTAAATAACTAGAGGAGAGTATAGAACCTAGGGTTGGAGCTTTGCGGTCTAGGAAAACTGCATACATTGCTCAGAACAGAGTGAAGTAGTTTGTATTTTTTATAGTAATTTGGTCATATTCCTTTAAAAAAGTAGTCACAAAGGTAACCCATTGGCTCCCACTCCTTCATTTATGATTGTTTACAGAATCTCTCATTACACAATCATCTGATTATACAATAAATCAGACCTCCGTGTGGCAGATGTGATATCTGAGCCCCATGTATACGTCAAATTAGGTATCCCCTCTGTTCGAGTCTCTTCATGATATTACAGTCTGTATGGAAAGTATCTTTTGTAGAGCAATTTCCAAGTTAAGTGAACTCTTCTATGGGGCTAGATTTAATAGTGTGCTTATGATGACTATTAGCTTAGCAAATATTTTACGGTCCTAGTACGTTCTAGTAATGATCTCACCTGTCAGAGTTTCCCTCTAAGGTATCATCCAAAAAATTGATATCTATTATGCTCATAGGTACATTTTAACCCATTGTCTGCATCAAGTGCAGAAATTGCTGCACGTGGCATCACACAATAAGAGCAGGTCATCAATATACCTGGTATTCCAGTGTATATTGTTGCTAAACAGGTTTTGATGGGTAAAAACACAGGATTCCTCCCACCACTTGATATAGATGTTTGCCATGAACCTGGCAGCTATTTATGCTCCACACAAGTGCAAATAATATTTGTCAAAACAAGAAGTTGTGAGATAACAAAGTGCGAAGAACAGAAATTCTTAAAGCTCCCCAGAGTTGGAACTGTATTTCCTTAAAGTGTTACTAAACCCAGGACCCTGCATTCACTATATGTGGTCTCCCACAGTACACAGAACATGGAAATGCAATTATTTTAAATATAAACTGCTAAATGCCTTTTCTCATCAGCAGTTAGAGCAGTCTTGTGACTTCTATCAGTGTCCAGCCGAGCACTGGTTAAAGCTTGTAGAAAGAGTTTTTTTTTTCTAGGAGGATGCAGAACCCCTGACCTCTGGACAGTGCTGATTGGCCCTGTGCTGATCACATGCACTCTCCCAAAAAACAAAAACCTCTTTAGCAATACACACCAAACTGAGCATGTGCAGTGTCTCCACACGATATGTCTTATCTGGAGATAAGAAGGGTGCACTGGAAGACTGGGAGGATCAGAGAAGACAGGACAAACATTATTTTTACATATTGCAGAGGAATAACCCCTTAGGTTTCACAGTGAGTATAACAAGCATGCTTTACAGCATATGCAGACTGATTTCACTGTTGTGGGTTTAGTAACACTTTAAATAATGGTGGCTCAGCATAAATCTGATAACTGACAAAAGTGTACCCGTATTGTTAAGGTATCCTGGAATCTTATTACTAGTGGCTGTAGATCGATCCACTCTTCTAACGCTCAGGGTGAGCCAATTCCAGTCATTATTGGGTGACCCTGTGCTGAGTCACCCGACTTGTGGATTTTGGGAAGGTGGTGGAAAACCAGGGTAACTGGGTCTTCCACTAACAAAAATGCAGCTGTTTTAGGACTTAGAAACCTGGTACCCAGTTACTTTCCAGAGTGTCTGGGAGCGCACAAACACTGGTTTATATGGAAACACAAGCTTCCAACGAGATGTTAGCATGTGGCCCTGTACCCCCCACACCTCACATTTCTTAGTGAAACTACCCATTGTATGGGTAGGAAAGTTTAAGCTTCCTAATGATGGCTGGTATGTGAGTTTCAGAGCTCTCTCAGTAAATGTGCAAGTATCACTGCATGCCTACACTAACAGAAAACATACATTTGCTTAGATTATACACTATGAATGCAAAATATATGTACTTTGTGTCCTCCTCAGGGTAGCCATGGTTTCATTACACAACACCCATGGGCCAAGCTTGTTCGTGCTTTTATCAATTTGGAGGCTGCTGGTGTTGGTGGAAAGGAGCTGGTATTTCAGACAGGTATGTAATCATCCATGTTTCAGTGAAACTGCTTAGTCTTTAGACCATTTTAATTGTATATCTGTCTTTATTTAAGTAAAGTATCATCTGAATATTTAAGATATAAGGCAGGTTTGGTTGATTAGCCTATATGTTGATCTGGGTATATGTGCATGACACTAGCTATAACAGAAGGAGTGCACTGTTGAATTTTTACACAACCAAGTAAGAAATATACTGTATGTATGTTAGTAGTCAGAAATGTTTGTCCTACTTCATTTTGTCTTAAAACTATTGAAGATCTTATTAATATAAGAGAAAATTGTTTAATGAACAGTGTGTGTATGTATATATGCGTAAGTGTATGAGTGTGTGTGTGTATGTATATATATATATATATATATATATATCTACAGTATCTCCCAGAAGTGAGTACACCCCTCACATTTTTGTAAATATTTTATTCGATCTTTTCATGTGACAACACTGAGGAAATGACACTTTACTACAATGTAAAGTAGTGAGTGTACAGCTTGTACAACAAAAATGAGTACACTCCTAAGTGAACATGTCAAAATTGGGCCCAAAGTGTCAATATTTTGTGTGATCACCATTATTTTCCAGCACTGCCTTAACCCTCTTGGGCATGGAGTTCACCAGAGCTTCACAGGTTTCCACTGGAGTCATCTTCCACTCCTCCACGACGATATCACAGAGCTGGTGGATATTAGAGACCTTGCGCTCCTCCACCACCCGTTTGAGGATGCCCCACAGATGTTCAATAGAGTTTTTAGGTCTGGAGACATGCTTGGCCAGTCCATCACCTTTACCTTCAGCTTCTTTAGCAAGGCAGTGGTCATCTTGGAGGTGTGTTTGGGGTCGTTATCATGTTGGAATACTGCCCTGCCGCCCAGTCTCTGAAGAGAGGGGATCATGCTCTGCTTCAGCATGATTCCCTCAATGAACTGTAGCTCCCCAGTGCCGGCAGCACTCATGCAGCCCCAGACCATGACACTTCCACCACCATGCTTGACTGTAGGCAAAACACACTTGTCTTTGTACTCCTCACCTGGTTTCCACCACATGCTTGACACCATCTGAACCAAATAAGTTTATCTTGGTCTCATCAGACCACAGGACATGGTTCCAGTAATCCTTATCCTGTGCATCATCTGTAGAAGACACTTCCTTCTGGGAAGACAGCCATGCAGACCAATTTGATACAGTGTGTAGCGTATGGTCTGAGCACTGACAGGCTGACACCCTCCCCACCCCTTCAACCTCTGCAGAAATGCTGGCAGCACTCATACGTCTATTTCCCAAAGACAGCCTCTGGATATGACTCTGAGCAAGTGCACTCATCTCCTTTGGTTGACCATAGCGAGGCCTGTTCTGAGTGGAACCTGTCCTGTTAAACCACTGTATGGTCTTTGCCACCGTGCTGCAACTCAATTTCAGGGTCTTGGCAATCTTCTTATAGCCTAGGCCATCTTTATGTAGAGCAGCAATTCTTTTTTTCATATCCTCAGAGAGTTCCTTGTCATGAGGTGCCATGTTGAACTTCCAGTGACCATGAGGGTGTGAGAGCGATAACACCAAATTTAACACACCTGCTCCCCATTCACACTTAAGACCTTTTAACACTGACAGGTCACATGACACTGGAAAGGGAAAATGGCTAATTGGGCCCAATTTGGACATGTTCACTTAGGGGTGTACTCACTTTTGTTTTCAGCGGCTTAGACATTAATGGCTGTGCGTTGTTATTTTGAGGGGACAGCAAATTTACACTGTTAGACAAGCTGTACACTCACTACGTCACATTGTAGCAAAGTGTCATTTATTCAGTGTTGTCGCATGAAAAGATATAATAAAATATTGAAAAAAATGTGAGGAGTGTAATTACTTTTGTGTGTATGTATATGTGTGTATAGTTGTGTTCAAAATAATAGCAGTGTGTTGAAAAAAGTAAATCAAAAATCAAAATCCTTCTAATAGCTTTTATTTCCATACACACAAATGCATTGGGAACACTACACATTCTATTCCAAATCAAAACATGAAGAAAAATGTATCACATTTTTGTTGTTCCTCTACAAAAATTGAAGAAAAGTGAATATTAGACTGTTCAAAAAAATAGCAGTGTTTGTATTCTTCTTTACAAACTCAAACATTCACTATATAAACTGAAAAATGTTTGAAGATTTTGCTTTCCTTTGAATCACTTAATGAATATTTAGTTGTATAAGCACTGTTTCTGAGAACTGCTGTACATCTGTGTTGTATGGAGTCAACCAACTTCTGGCACCTGTGAACAGGTATTCCAGCCCAGGATGATTGGACTACATTTCACAGTTCTTCTATATTTCTTGGTTTTGCCTCAGAAACTGCATTTTTGATGTCACCCCACAAGCTTTCTATTGGATTAAGATCCGGGGATTGGGCTGGCCACTCCATAACGTCAATCTTGTTGGTCTGGAACCAAGATGTTGCACGTTTACTGGTGTGGGGTTGTTGTCTTGTTGGAACACCCATTCTGATATTCAAATGATCCATGATCCCTGGTATGCGATAAATAGGCCCAACACCGTAGTTTGAGAAACATCCCCATATCATGATGCTTGCGCAACCATGCTTCACTGTCTTCACAGTATACTGTGGCTTGAATTCAGTGTTTGGGGGTCGTCTGACAAACTGTCTCCGGCCACTAGACCCAAAAAGAACAATCTTACTTTCATCAGTCCACAAAATGTTGCGCCATTTCTCTTTAGGCCAGTCAATGTGCTCTTTGGCAAATTGTAACCTCTTCAGCACATGCCTTTTTTTCAACAGTGGGACTTTGCGGGGGCTTCTTGCAGATAGCTTGGTTTCACATAGGCGTCTTCTAATTGTAACAGTACTCACAGGTAACTTTAGACCTTCTTTGATCTTCCTGGAGCTGATTGTTGGCTGAGTCCTTGCCATTTTGGCTATTCTTCTATCCATTCGAATGGTAGTTTTTAGCTTTCTTCCACGTCTTTCAGGTTTTGGTTGCCATTTTAAAGCATTTGCCATCATTTTAGCTGAGCAGCCTATCATTTTCTGCACTTCTTTATATGTTTTCCCCTCTCCAACCAACTTTTTAATCAAGGTACGCTGTTCTTCTTAACAATGTCTGGAACGACCCATTTTCCTCAGAATTTCAGAGAGAAATGCACTGTAACCAGCATGTACAACATTTGCTGCCTTCCTTAAATAAGGGCAATAATTGCCACCTGTTTTTCAAAGAATGAATGACCTCACTAATAGAACTCCACACTGCTATTATTTTGAACATGCCCCTTTCAATTAGTGATTCAATTACACAGAATCAGCAGCATGCATGTCATGACTGTTGGGTCTGTTGGATTTCTATTACTCTACTACACCTGCTAGTAAATTATTTGCCATGTAGAAATATCATTTCTACCAAAAACAGTGATTGATCAGGTTAGTGATGTCTGACTATTATTTTGAACACAACTGCATCCAGAAAGTATTTGCAGATCTTAACTTTTGCCACATTTTGTTATGTTACAGCCTTATTCCAATTCCAACTTATTGTGAAAGAAGTTCGTTTTGAAATCTTTGCAATTTATTAAAAATAAAAAACAATCCACATGTACAGCCTTTGCTCAATACTTTGTTGAAGCACCTTTTAGCCTCAAGTCATTCTGAGTATGATGCTACAAGCTTGACACACCTATTCTTGGGAAATTTCTCCCATTCTTTGCAGTACCTCTCAAGCTCCATCAGGTTGGATGGGGAGTGTCGGTGCACAGCCATTTTCAGATCTCTCCAGAGATGTTCAATTGGGTTCAAGTCTGGGCTCTGGCTGGGCCACTCCAGGACAATCGCAGAGTTGGCCCGTAGCCACTCCTTTGTTATATGGGTTGTGTGCTTAGGGTCGTTGTCCTGTTGAAAGATGAACCATCGCCCCAGTCTAAGGTCCAGAGAGCTCTGGAACAGGTTTTCATCAAGGATGTCTCTGTACATTGCTGCATTCATCTTTCCTTCGATCCTGAATAGTCTCCCAGTTCCTGCCGCTGAAAACATCCCCACAGCATGATGCTTCCACCACCATGCTTCACCATCGATTAAAGTGTTACTAGACCCAGGACCCTGCATTCACTATATCCAGTCTCCCACAGTACACAGAACATGGAAGTGCAATTATTTTAGTAATTATAAACTGCTAAATACTTTCTCATCAGCAGTTAGAGCAGTCTTGTGACTTCTATCTGTGTCCAGCTCGCCACTAGCTAAAGCTTGTAGGAGGAGTTTCCTTTCTGCTCTAGGAGGATGGAAATCCCTTGACCACTGTTTGGACAGTGCTGATTGGCCCTGTGCTAATCACATGCACTTTTCCAAGAAAAAAATAAAACCTTTCTAGCAATACACACCAAACTGAGCATGTGTATGCCTACGGTTCAGTCTGGAGATAAAAGGTGGTCACTTGAAAAAGGGGAGGAACAGAGAAGAAAGGATCGATCAGCCTTTTTACACAGTGCAGAGGATTAACCCCTTAGGTTCCACAGTGAGTATAACAAGCATGATTTACTGCATATACAGACTGATTTTACTGTTGTAGGTTTAGTAACACTTTAAACCAAAAATGTTATATTTTGCAGCTTACCAGTCATTATATGTGGTGGCTATACCAGTTTTCTTTTCTTTGGCTTTTTGCCCTCTGTTTTCTCCTGGTGATCTAGCCAGTAACACTCCTCCTGTACTGGTGAGACACAACACTAAATGAGCACAGGAGGCACAGCAGAGAGCAGCATTGTCAATCTGGGGTAGTGGAATGTTAAATGTAGATGCAGATTAATTGCAGATTTATATACACTAAACAAATTGAAACCAAACTCCACCTCACACTTTATAATCAGTTACAGCAAACAGTTTGTTTTTCCTTTTTGGAAAGGTTTTGCATTAATAAATAAAAGCTGATGATTATTTTCACCCCTGTCAGTGTTAAGTGATTTCTCTCATCCATGTAAACTATTCTGCTGGAGAGTTTGTGCTTTAGGCCACGTTCACACTAGTGTTGTGTGCAGGCGGCAGAGAGGTGTTTGGGAAGCGTTTTTACCGCTTCCCAAACGCCTCTGACAATTCTGCACATTGCAGCACATGGTGCTGTTCTAACGGGAGCGTTAGCGTCGTGGCAAAACGGACGCCTCTGGTTGAGTCAGGAGGCGTTGAAGCCTCCTATTCTAGTCTATGGTGCCGCTCCGCAAATGCCCAGCCGGCATTTGAGGCGCGGTTGCGATGCAGTTGGGGGGTGTTTGTGGAGCAGTAACACCATTTATACTTCATTATAGCTGTTTGCGGAGCGTTTTAACGCTCGACAAACTCTAGCAACCGCCGCTAAACCGCGTTTGCGGAACGTTTGCCGAGAGTTAAAAAACCGCTCCGCAAACGCCGGACCAATGCTTACCAAACGCTATAGGGGCGTTGGTAAAACAGTCAAGTGTGAACGAGCCCTTAAATTAACAGAAGAGTTGCTGGGTGTATCACCAGATGAAAGTAGAGAAGAGAGCCTAAAAAAGGAAGCAAATGCAGTTATCACGTGTAAGAATTGGTAAGCTGCAATATAATAAATGTTTGTTTTTGGGTTTAATACCATCTCAAATACCGGAGTATGGATATTATTCTTAGTAACTGGCTTATCTATAGTTGTGTGTTCTTTTTATAATGGTTTTGACAGGCCCTGAAAACCCATGGCTTGTACAAGCATATGCAGAGGCTGCTGTCCACCCTTTTGCTTCAGTGGTGGCCCAAGAGATATTCCAGAGTGGTGTTATCCCTTCAGATACAGATTTCCGCATTTACAGAGACTTTGGCCATATTCCAGGTTTGTCTTAATATTATAGCTAATAATATTTTCTGTACCTTCTATACTTTTTCTGGATTATGAACTTTTTTATTTACAAATTTTCTTACCCCTTCTCTTTTTTTTTTTTTTTTTTTTATTTTGTTTATAATATATTTTCCAGATCTCTCTGTTGTGAAATAGACCTTTGTTTTATATTGGTGTGACTGAAGGACAGCCTAGGTGCATTTTGTCTTGCATGTTTGTTTTGTTGTCAGATGTACTGAGAGGGATGAAGGGAATCTTGGAAGGTTGCTTCGTTCTTTATCTTAAATGGGGAGTAACAAGCCAAACTGTGTGTGTGTGTGTGTGTGTGTGTGTGTGTAAAACACACACCTACACCTTTTAATCAGGGTATAGCATCAAGTCAGTTAAACTACTGGGATGTTGATCTGGTCAGTTAAGTAGCAGAGGGGGTTGTCATTCAGTTTTAGCTGCTTTGGTGTCCATGAAATTAACAGGTGCACTAGATGGGCAACAGTGAGATGACCCCCAAAACAGGAATGGTATTACAGGTGGGGGGGGCCACTAAAAAAAACATTTTTGACTGTTTTTTTTCACTAGTTTTGCATTTGGTTAGGGTCAGTGTCACTACTGGTAGCATGAGGCAATTCTTGGACCCTACAGAGGTTGCACAGGCAGTCCAACTCCTCCAGGATGGCACATCAATATGTGCCATTGCCAGAAGGTTTGTTGTGTCTCCCAGCACAGTCTCAAGAGCATGGAGGAGATTCCAGGAGACAGCCAGTTAAGAGCTTGACAGGGCCCTAGCAGGTCCTTAACCCATCAGCAGGACCGGTATCTGCTCCTTTCTGCAAGGAGGAACAGGATGAGCACTGCCAGAGCCCTACAAAATGACCTCCAGCAGACCACTGGTGTGAATGTCTCTGACCAAACAGACTTCATGAGGGTGGCCTGAGGGCCCGACGTCCTCTAGTGGGCCCTGTGCTCACTGCGCGGCACCATAGAGCTTGATTGGCATTTGTAATTGAACACCAGAAATGGCAGGTCTGTCACTGGAACCCTGTGCTTTTTACAGATGAGAGCAGGTTCACCCTAAGCACATGTGACAGATGTGACAACGTCTGGAGAAGCCGTGGAGAATATTATGCTGCCTGCAGCATCGTTCAGCATGACCATTTTGGTGGTGGGTCAGTGATGGTTTAGGGGAGACATATCCATGGAGGGACACACGGACCTTTACAGACTGGACAATGGCACCCTGACTGCCATTAGGTATTGGGATGAAATCGTTGGACCCATTGTCAGACTCTACACTGGTGCAGTGGTTCTTTGGTTCCTCCTGGGGCATTACAATGCATGGCCTCATGTGGCGAGAGTATGCAGGCAGTTCCTGGAGGATGAAGGAATTGACACCATTGAATGGCCCCCACGCTTGCATGACCTAAATCCAATAAAACACCTCTGGGATATTCTGTTTTGGTCCATCAGACACCGCCAGGTTGCACCTCAGACTGTCCAGGAGCTCAGTGGTACAGATCTGGGACGAAGTTCCCCAGGACACCATCTGTTGTCTCATTAGGAGCATGCCCCGACGTTGTCAGGCATGCATACAAGCATGTGGGGGCATACAAACTGAGTGCCAATTTGAGTTGCACGTATAGAAAATAATCACCCCCCTTTAAAATCACATTTTTTGCTTTGCAGCCTGAAATGAAGACAGACGCAGTTTTGTTTTATCCAGCTGTATTTACTCAGTGCAATTGTCAACATCCAAGTGTGAATATAACACCAACATGTCAGGAAAAAAATAAAAAACAGAATAACGGAGTTGGAAAAAGGATCCCCCTCCCTTCTAAAACTTGTAAACTAAACCAGGTATAGCTAACCACCTTCTCAATGGCACACACAGCCATTTGACGTTCAGCTGTGGTCTTCTTGATTAGCTCAACATGAAAAGAGCTCTCCTGTAGCATTTCAAATGCATAGCATTTTCAAATCTTGAGCAGTTCTGCAAAGAAGAGTTGGCAAATTTTGCAAAGTTAGTAGAGACATATCCCAACAGACTAAAGTTGTAATTAAAGGAAAAGGTGGTTCAACAAAGTACTGACACAAGGGGTGATCCTTTTTACAACTCCGTGTTTCTGTTTTTGACGTTTTGTTTTGTTTGACATGTTGGTGTTTCTATCTTTCACTTGGATGTTGTAAGTTGCACTGAATAAATCCAGCTGGATAAAACAAAAACAGTGTCTGTCTTCATTTCAGACTGCAAAACAACAATGTGATTATTTTAAGGGGGGAGGGGTGGCAATTCTTTTCTATACCCACTTTATGTATATGCGTGTGTGTGTGTATATTTGTGTCCATCTAGATTTTAACTTTAGGTTACCCACATTTAACTGCTGTGACGGTTTTTAAAAGCTTGTCCACATAAATGCTTGTTTCTTGTATTCTTGTGCACAATGTTGTATGTATGGATTTGTAACGTGATTCTGCAATTTGATGGTGACCCTCATTGTGTTTTATGAAGTTTGCCCTGTTGAGAAGTGGATGAATATGAATGTACACAGCCAACACATTTAAATTCCAATGACTAGGATGTTCTTGTTTTTGGTATGTCTGAAAGGTGTACAGCATGCTTAAGTTGTCTCGTTTTTAATTTGCTTAGCATTAACAAATCAAATTTTAACTGCCCTGAGATGTTTTTTTGCTGTGTTTACCTATTTTTGAACCACAGTAATCCCTGTTGTTATTTAGGTATTGACCTGGCCTTCATTGAGAATGGTTACATTTACCATACAAAATATGACACCGCAGATAGAATTCACACAGACTCCATCCAAAGAGCAGGTTGGTATTAATCTTTGTCTAAATTATTGCTGCAAATGAGACATAATGGAATGGCAGAAAAACACTGTTCCTTCTGTGCAAGAAAAAAAAAAATTCAATACAAGCTATATCGGCTGACTAGGAAATCCTTGACAAGGGAAACTCTATGCATATATCTTAAAGTGGAGCTCCACCCTAAAGGGGAAGTTCCGCTTTAAGGACTGCTTCCCTGCTCCCTATTAAGGATTGGCACCTTTATGGAGCGGGGGGGGGGGGGGGGGTGCTCCCACTTCTAGGCGATCGGAAACGGAAGGTGTCCTCCCTCCCTCCCTGTACTCTTTTGGGACACGTGACAACAGGTCCCAGAAGACTACAGGACCATTCACGAAGCGCAACGCTACTCAAGCATGCGCAGTGGGTACCTGGCTGTTAAGCCGCAAGCTATCACAGCCTGGTGCCCACACTGAAGATGCCGGCCTCCTGGAATACAGGATGGCCGGTGAAACGAGCTGCGGGGGACACACTGCGGGACCGAGAGACAGGTAAGTGGCTGTTTTTTAAAAGTCAGCAGCTACAGTTTTTTTGTAACATCTTTTTGGCACTGAAGACTGCAGGGCTGGCTAACTTGCTAGAGGAGAAGAGCACAAGGAACATTTTCATAGTACATTGATGTTTCCTGTGCTTCCATCTGCTAGGGGACATAGGTACCTGACATAGGTACCTGCATAGCTGTATCAAAAAATGGTGTTGTCAGGGGCATAAGGGAAGCTGTAGGTGCAGCCAAAGTGCAACCGAGACAGTTGGTGCAACAGTGGACTGTGAATGTAGCAGAGTTTGACTGTGGATTCAGGTGCAACATAGCCTTTGGGTACAAAGGACGTACAGCAGAGACTTTGCATAAAATATTACTATATGAAGAAATAAGCATAGAAAGCAAACTCGAAAGAGTCTCATACATTTATCATTTTCCATACTGTACACATTGTATGTATTCTATTTTAATGTAAATATTTTTTCACCCAGGTGACAATATAATGGGGGTATTGAAATACTTGGCATCTTCACATCTTCTTGCTGACGCCTCAGAATATCGTCATGGGAACTTGGTTTTCTTTGATGTGTGCGGCTTCTTTGTTCTGTGCTATCCAGCTCGCATTGGTACCATCGTAAATTACATCATTGGCACAGTTACTTTGTTTTATTTAAGCAAAAACACCATTAAATACAAGAGAGCAGGTAAGCTATTGTATGTATCAGTAATGGTTAAAAACCTCAAAGTAGAATCCCAGCTTACACCTAACGAGCCTTAAAACTGCCCCCCTCCTAAAGCCTGTTCAGCTCACTGAAGGTCTTCCTGATCTCTCGTCGTCTTCCAGTGATGTTCTTCTGCTCTTGAAGCTCGCGTGCCACTCCAAAAACCTCAAACGACTCATTGCAGCATGTCCGTAAACTTACCAAATCATGTCAAACGTTTCTGTGGCAGATTTGCCCAGTTTCATGCAGATTTTCACATTTGCTTTTTGTTCTAACTTGCTGTCCGTGAGGAAATGGCAGACTTGGTAATGTACGTGTCAGAATAGCAGCAGTTGCAAAACTCCTGATGTACACAGGACTATGTCTTTTGGTACACTGACTGATGAAGGTCAGTGCTCCCTGTGACTGTGCATGCAGCCTTGTGCTGCCATCTGTTGGTGTGTTACAAAACTAATCTCAAAACTTTTTGATACCATTTCGTACTTTGCTATTTTCAGACTGCTCCAGTCCAGTCACATGGTCTCCCCTGTATCAGCCAGCAGCAGCTGCAAGGCAGAGGAGAGAGTGCTCCGACAATGGCTAGTAAAGCCTGGTCAGAGACATCACCCATAGGCTTCAGTGGCCTATCCATAATTGGCGCTCTCTCCTGTCTTTTGAAACTGTGCTGGCTGACACAAGGGAGCCGGATCAGATGACCGAACCAGAGAAGCCTGAAAATTAGGTAAGTATTTACATCTTTGTTACGCTAGTTAGTTAGCATAGGTGTTAGGAGGGGACAGTTTAAAGGCTGCTTGGGTAGAAACTGATATTCCACTTTAATAAGATTGTAATTTTATTTTCATATCCGCTGTTTGGATCGTCTGTATTTATTAGGGTGAGCTGTAAAATTTACAGTGTCTTTATGGTAGAAATTTAGAGCCACACTTAAGCTCGCCATACACTGATCAAAATTTCGATCAGTCTCTGGCCTTCCTTGCTTTTGAGAAGCCGATCAAACAGCAAAGGAGAAGCTGTAAAACTTTTTTTTCAATCAGTGACTGCAGTTGCTAATCGGTGCAGTTTGACAGCAGCGATGCCAATGTCAAAACACAACTTCCTGGTGGGGGGATTCCTCTGTCCACCGCATGTGCGATAGAGTAATCTATTGTTTTTCTTCATTCAGCACTCTGGCTGAACAAAAATAACCATCTATGGCCAGCATTTGTTGAAAGATTTCTTGCTGATGCAGTTCAGCTTTATAAAATACTCAGGAACATCTAAAACAATGTTTAGGATACTCTGTGTTTTTACATGCAATGCAATTACTGTTCTTAATAAGATTTCCATGCCTCAATTCAGAATTAAATCCATGCATTTCTTTCAGTGCTTAGTTTCCAGGTGCCTCTTTTTGAGTTTAGACTTGCATATTAAGTATAATATATTATAGAAGCTGTTTATTGCTTTATTATTACATGTGGCATGCAACTGAACAACAGTAAAGATATTGCTATAAGCACAAAACAGTAATCATGATGCCCTACAATTCAGATGGTCAAATCTGGGTGGTTTATACCAGACAAATTAGCAGGCAACAGAAGAGGAGAGGAGAAAAAGAGGGGTGGGAAAGGGATGCAGCTGTTTTTAAACTATTTCTGCAATCAATAATGTAGGTGTATTTTATTGTGATTATATTTATTCTGTGCAGGTATGAACTATGCTCGTGATCTCATGGTTGGACTATTCATCACAGTGACAAGCTGGATCTCGGCTCTAGTAACTGTTCTTATCATGGCAGTGCTGGTTACTTTGAGTGGTGGTGCCCTCTCATGGTATACACATTTCTATGTGTCTGTGGCTCTGTATGGTGCTGCGGCTCTAGCTAAGCTCCTATTAATGCACTCACTGGCTAAACAGTTCTATTTTGCTGTAAGTGTTCTCATATATTTGTTTTTTGTTTTATATATTCATATTTCATAGATTTCACGCACATTATAGGGAACTACAAAAAAATAATGCCTTTAAAGTGGATCTAAACCAACAATTGACATTTTGACTATCCCTTGTCCCTACTTGCCGTTTTTTTTTTTTAGATAAGTGAAAGTGGGAAGCATGATATTGTGCACAGCTTCTCATGGCCGCTTCATTACCACACAGAGGAGTGTATGTAGCAGAATTTACTGTTCCCACAGGATCTGGCCTTACTAGGTTTTAAAGCCAGTACACAATGTTGACTGTCCACATTGCTTATCCAATGTATTGCCTTTTTTTTCTGTGGCATTGCAAACATATTAAATGTACTCTCATGTCATTCTTGAATTTTATCTTTTGTCTAAGATCTTCTCACTCTTGATGAAAGAGACCAAATTGACCAAAGAACTACCATGGGTGATCAACATCCATTAATAGCCAAATGGTTTCTGCAGTGTCTAGCAATTATCAGTTTTGATGTGGCTTAAACTCTGTCACTTTGCCCATTCAGAGTCTGTTGAAAGTCCATCTCCCTACCGACCTATACTCCCCCTTCAGCTTAATATCCTGTCCTTTAGAAGTACCTGGTGCTTCTTGGTAGAAGGAAGCATTTTACTTACTCCAAGGATACCTTGCTGCATTTCCCCTATTCAAGCTCTACACTGGATTGTGTCAGAGCTTAGACAGTTGTGTTGACCTCACCCCTTTTTTGGGCCTGGCAGTTCTGCATCCTGGGAGGAGGTCACTCCCAATTACTGGCTGTGGAATCAAAGGGGATTTTGCTACAGAGGGAGTATATGTTGTGTTCTAGTGACCCTGAATGGGCAAAGGTTAGTGCCTCTTTTCAAGGTCAAAGCCATACATTGTTTTCTAAGTTAGAATTAGAGAATCCTCTCTAGTTTTATAAAGTCCTATTTCCAATTGCTTTTTGCAGTATTTAGACAGGACAGTAGATGGAACCTCTTAGCTCAAGTGAAAGTTGCTGGTGTAGGAACCTCACTCTTTACTTTGCTGCTATAGTAGACTGGCCTCCTTCTTATGCCAATTTCCTGAACAATATGGCAGAATATTTAGTATGCTAGATGTTGTACTAAGATTTGACTTCCATTTGACGCAGATCTGTATTTTCTTCTTTGGTTCTCCAGAACACAAACAAACAGTACCTTGGAGACCTCTTCTTTGATGTGTCCTTGCTTTCATGGGGCATACCCATGGTGCTCTTTACTAATAAAGGCTTGTGCTCTGCTTATTTCTTCGCCATGTGGGTGATTTTTCCGTTGATCACAAAAGTGTTTCTTCGGCAAGAATTTATTTATCAAGGTATGTTTGTTTTAAGGTATGGTTAGTAATATATGACAATGTAGCAGCTAAAGTAACTTAGGTATAACTTTTTTGAATAATTTCCATGCTAATGTTCCTGTCATGCGTCTGGCTGCCCCGATAATTAAATATCTTGTAGTCTGGGGGCAATACAAGCAGTTGAATGAGAATTGCATACTGACACTGCTATGTTGGGCTGCCTCATATTCATTAATGTGGTGGTCAGAAATCCATCGATTGCAGTCTACCTGTCAATTGCGGACAAGTGACAGGTAGGTTGCGTCCTTTCCTTGTCAACCCCTGGACCCAAGACAGGAGGGGCAGTGGGAGTGGCATTTGCTGAAATCGATCCCCTATATTTTTCCACCTGCAGCAGCTGGAAGCCAGCTTCTCCCTCCTGCTGGCATTCAGCTGCTCCAAGAGGAAAATACAGGGAACCAGTACTATTAAATGCCACCCCTCCTTTCCAGGTTTCCCTTCCTTCTGCTGACCTGTCCACCGTGTGCTCCCCTGCAGTGCTGCCAACTCCTCTCCTCTCTTGCCAACTGCGGCGGGGGATTGTTTCAGGATGGAGAGGGGGATTAGGGCCGGTAAATATGTAATTTAATGACCCCAGCCTTTTCTCAATGAACACAGTGAGTGATTGATACCGATCACCCACTATGTTCATTCATAACTGGAGAATTGTAAACAGTGTTTACTATGCTTCAGTTTGTGAATGAACAGGGAACTGCTCAGTACAGACTGCTTCCCATTAATTTACTCTCCAGTGCAGCTGAGGCTGCAGAGAAGACGACTGTCCTCAGTCCCTTATGTGTCTTAAAAGTGAGTAATCAGGGGTCTGTTTAGACCCCTGATATATCACCAAAGCCCCCAACAAGGCTGCTAGAAAACTGTAAAAAAAAAAAAAAAAAAAAATGCTAAAAATAATTAAAAGATAAAATAATAATTTAAAAAAAAAACTAAAACTGCCATACTGACACTGTCCACACACCTTCCATTGCTCTATTGACACTGTCCACACACCGTCCACTGCCCTGCTGACACTGTCCACTTTTAAGGTAGGCTTATATTTTACAGTGACATTTGTTTTTTTTTTTTTTTTTTGGTCTGCAGCTTAAAGCTGGTGCCCAAACACTGGTTTAGTATGCAGGCAGTAGCATTCCAGGCTGTGGTTTAGTGTGAATGGTTCCTTAGAGTGAGAATCCACAAATAGATATAGTTCAGTGAGAGCACCAAAACAGCAGTCCAAGAGTTAGATCGAAGAGTTGAGCCCAGGGTCTAAAAATAGATCGCACAGTTGAGCCCAGAATCTAAAAATAGATTGGAAAGTTGAGCCCAGGACTTAAAAATAGATCAAACAGTTGAGCTAAGGATTTAAAAATAGATTGAACAGTTGAGCCCAGGATCTAAAAATAATATGAACAGTTGAAACCAGGATTTAAAAATAGATAAAACAGTTGAACCCAGGTTCGGAAAACACAATGAACAGTTGAGCCCAAGATTTAAAAATGGATCGAATGGTTGAGCCCAGGATCTAAAAATAGATCAGACAGTCGAGTCCAGGATCCTTACTGTTTAAGGGCGCCAACCCCCAGCGAACTTTGATTCCTTTCATGTTGTTCAGGCAGCTCTCCACCTCTCAAAGGTTTCCTACCGCTGCATTACTGTAGGTACACCTTAAAGTAGAATCAAGGGCAAACATTTTTAGTGTGTGAATAGAGTAAATGAGGGGTATAATCCCTGTCAGAATTTTTTTTTGTCATTTGTGTCCCATTGGGGGGATTTCAATTCACTTTCTGTCCCATAGCCAAAACCGGAAACAAAAAAAAGAGATCCCTTCAAAGTGAGGGAATCCCTTGTCACCAAAACTAGTGTCCCCATTAGAAGATTTATTCTCTATTCCTGTTCTGGTGACAGTTATGATGATAATTATAAACATGACAAATAAGAGGGTTAATCCCCTTATTTGTTCTAATCCCTCACTACTGTATCCAAAAAAAAAAAAAAAGATTTTAGGGACACCTTTTAAGTAAAAATGGTAATATTAGAATGTTTTCAAATCAACATAGACTTTTCTGTATTGCATGGATTTTAACAGGGTTCAATCCCAGTTAAACTGGTTTAGTCTTTGCATGTGTTTTTTGTTTTGTTTTGTTTATTTTTTTGTTTTTTAGTTGCTATTCTATTGACATTTGCTGTAGAGCAGAGTATAATGTAGAACAGGGTTTCTCAAACTTTTTCAGTCAAGGCACCCTTTAAAATGATGCACAATCTTAAGGCACCCCTTAAAATATTGCACAATCTTAAGGCTCCCCATTCTAAAACGAAAAAAAAAAAAAAAACTAATAGTTTTACATAACGTAGCAACATCCACACACGTAGGACACCCAATGATAGAGGTAATTTATTTTTACAAATCAAATACACCCTTGCACACCGGTACTGACTAGTGATCCAATGTTTCTCTTCTCCCTCAGTTTCTCTCCCTCACACAGCTAATGTGACCCCAGTGCTGATGGACAGGAGCAGAGGAGAGGCAAACAAGGAAAGTGCAGTACTGTGCAGATGCTGAACATCCTTCTTATCAACCAGTGATGCCATTGGTTGTTAGGATTCCGGTGGCTAGAAAGTTGTAATGCTGCACAATGGAAACCGGTGACTTTGTGTAACTAAAAGGCAGGCTTGATCCACCCGCTGACTTGTATACACATTTTGTGCAATTTTTAGGCATTTTGCACCCCTGAAGAAACCTAAAGACACCCTGGTTGAAAAAGGCTGCTGTAGAGTTCGCAGTATGTTTCTGTAAAATATCAACTAGAGTGCGTGCAATGCAGAAATGCTATGCCCTCTAGAAAAATGAAAAAAAAAAAAAAACTGTATACTCCCCACAAAATCTCTACAGTCCATATAACTGTGCACACTGCTATATACCATAATAAATTTATAGCAAACTTTGCATTGAAAACAGTGGTTCTTGATTTGCATATATTAAGCCTTCCAAATGCACAGTAAAATTTTGCTTCTTGTTTTTTGTTCTCATAGGTTCATCCTATAAATACATTGCCATATACCTGTTGGGATTATTTTATCCTTGTCTACACACCATGTATTATGTGTGGGCAGTGTTTGAGATGTTCACGCCTATCCTTGGACGCAGCGGTACAGAAATCCCACCTGATGTGGTGATGGCCACTTTATTGGTTGTTTGTACAGTTATTCTTTTATCTTACTTTGTAAGTACATATATTAGTTACTTCAAACACAGGGTGTGTATTCCAGTAGTAGGATAAACTCTGTTGTCACTGTAGAATTCTGTAAGGCTTATGACAGTACTAGCAATGCAGTCTTGATATTTCTTTCAATCATACATTCCATTTATTCCTCAAGATAATGTACTTGATTTGCAGTGTCCTTTTTTTTTTTTTTTTTTTTGGTGTGGCCACACACTTTAAATCATTAAATTAGCTGGGCTGCAAAACTGTGAGTAGTGGGGTTGGTAATGTAAATTCTTACACATCTTATTCTAAAAATACATTTAATTACCAGATTTCACACTTTTTCCTGCAAAGGAATCAGTCAGTGCTTACTATAATGAACTACTGTGTCAAGCTTATGCAGTAAAAGCTTTCCTCATAACAGTCTCACATACTTGTAAGTCACACTTTATTTACATGGGCCAATCTAATTTGTGCATGCAGCAGTAATCCATTCTCTTTAAAAACCTGTGGAACTCAACCATTCAGCAAAATAAGTGTGGCTATAACCACTTCCGATGCACATATATGTCGTCACCCACAGGAATCATTTTTGCAGCATACGTGAAATTAAGATACCAGATTAACTAGCCCATGTAGGTGCACTTTAGCAACATGGTGATAAGAAATGTTCTGGAAATAATCACCTGGCAGTTATTAAATATACAAGACAAAATATTGTAGTATCCCTGAGTAAGATTCTTTAATAGTATGTCTCTCCATTGAATGTTTAGTAAACCCAACAGGTGTGTACTATTTATTACAAAAGCAGTTAGTAAACATACATACATGATTTACTTTACATTTTCCTCCTTGTCTTAGATCAAGTTTATTTATCTAGTGAAGAGCACCAAAAAGTTAATGATGTGTTTGGCATTTGTGTCTGGTATGATGTTCGTCCTTGTTTGTAGTGGCCTGTTCTTTCCATATAGTGGCAGTATGGATAGTCCCAAGCCAAAGAGGATCTTCCTGCAGGTAATCCTTTTCTACTGTATGTTGTATGCACTGCAGAATAATTAAAGGATTCTCCCTTGCAGTGTGTGATGTGTTAGCAGGGGAAAATCCAATAGATACATTTGTTATTCTATATCTGATTGCTGTGTGCTAGACTTTCTTTTTATTTGCCTGTTTCTTTTATTTTAGTTTCTCTATTATGCATTGCAGGCATGTCACGAACCTCTGCTATATAGGAGTATTCTTGAAGCAAAAACAAAATGGCCAGTGCTGCTCATTTTCAAAAAATAGTCATGCTTCTTCTCTACATTGCATTATCCTTGTTTTATTCATCTGCTGTCTCTGTCGCAGCACAGCTACAATACACCCTATCCAATGCTTAAAGTGTACTTAACCCTTATCAATTTACTTGCCTTATTTGTTGTGCTCCCTTTTGTTCTGTTAAATATGCCATCAAAAGTGTTTACTTATATCTGTGCAGTTATGCCTGTTGACTTTTCCAGAAATGCTGTGAACTGTTAATTTCCTGTGCTTTCTGTCTGTGTACAAGTTGGGGTTACCAAGATGAGTAAGGAAGGAGATGAAGGGAGTTCAATGTTTTTTTTTTTTTTTTGTTTGTTTCTTTACTTTTCCCTTGTTCTTTTATTCTTCCTTTTTTTTTTTTTTTATTTTCTTTTTATATGTTTTTATTTTTAGGAATGAGGGGTTCAGTAGACCTGGAATTTCGGCTTGTCCACCTGAGAGAAAAAAAATGCCCAAACAATGATCCACATCCTTATAGAAATGAGTTAGTATAGACATAACCTTAAATGGCAAGCTTCACGGCAGACTAAATGACAATAAATAGAGTAGATTGAATAGGACTGGAGAAAGGAAAGTGTTTTTGCATTGGAGTGAGTTTAGAGACATTTGAGAATCAATAAGAAAGAGAGAGGAAGTAGGGGGATGGGAGAGAGAAGAACAGCGACATGGTGTCATTATGGAAAGGGTCTTGTAGGGAAGCTTCAAATAGGAGTATCAAAGCCGATTCAAGGGTCCCACACTCACTGGTAAGTTTTGAGTTTGGTATTCCTTTTAACTGTGAGGCTTTCTATAGGTTTCACCTCCCAAATATGAGAATGCAGGTCAAGTGTGGTCAGCCCATGCAACCCCACCAGTGAGAGACAGTTAAACACCATGTGGCCATTAATATATTCAGGATCAACCTTCTAGCATTTTTGAATGCATGGAATGGTAGGAGACCAAGCAGGTACAGTATGTGGGTTGTTTAACTGTAGGAGAGTTTCCACTTCCTGCCAAAAGGAGTGCATCTTGGGGCAAGTCCAGTATATGTGGAACAGTGTCCCTTAGTGGCCCAGACACCTCTAACAGCAGTCTGAAATGTTAGCGTTAAGGGTATGGAGAAATGCAGTAATGTGGTAGCAATGAGAAAAGATTTTAAATTGTTTCACTTTTATAGACTGTGCAAATTGACATTTTGTGTGCAGCCTCCAAAATTCTGCCCCAATCCTCTGTCCTAAAGTCTATTTAGGATGCATTTCCATTTTGTCATATATGTAGTACACTATGGGTGTGTCAGTATTTGGTGCCGTCAAACCCTTGTAAATGAGTCCTTGACATGTCTCTGCAATGCAGAGTTTTTCAAGGGTGTGGGGAAAGAGAAGGTCGCTAGGTGCAATAACTTGCACAAAATGTTTTATTTAAGGTAAATAAAAAGCAGTCTAGATGGTAGTTCATGCCACTCTTGTAGAGTAGCAAAAGGAAGAAGAATTTTTGGTCCATACAAGGTCCATACAAGGTATTATCAGTTTGCAAAAGAGATTTAAGTTTTCCACAGCAATACTTTGTCCAGTATAGCTGGAGTATAGAGAAAAGAGAGCAGAGGAGTTGTGGAAAAAATGTAAATTGGATGTGCCTAGTACAAATTCCCTTTGTAAATTTAATTGCAGCAAGAGTTAAAATAGATGGGGGCTAACAACAATTTTTTTCATCTCGGAAAAAGACTTGTAAGAGTACAAAGTAAACCAGAGTATTACGGTCAAAGGTGAGATGCGCAGTCGTAGTATATAATATCAGGGAATGCAAACTCCCCCTGGTGTTTTAAGAGACATAAGAATCTTAGCAACTCTGAGCATATTTTTGCCAAATAAATTATAGATCTGTTGCAGCAAATTTAAGGTGAGACAGGCATTCTCACTGGAAGTGTTTAGAAATAATAAAGTAATATTGGATAGTTATGGATGCAGTTCCGCTGATCCAAAATATGTGCTGTGAGGTCCAACGATGTAGGATTTACTTCATTTCATGGAAAAGACTTGAATAATTGGCCTCATAAAAGTTTTGATGGGAAAGTATCAAATTTATGCCTAGAATTTCCAAAAATTCCAGGAGTACTGATAGGGGGAGAAAAATGATTCAAGAGTCTGGGAGCTTAAGATTGAAAGGCAGGGCTTCAGATTTAGAGTAATTAAACTTATAGCCTGATAGGGACACAAATGCTTTAAAGCAGGCATGTAAGCTCAGGAGGTAGTTAGAGGTTTTGTAAGTGTTGGAGTATGTCCTCTACAAATAACAAAGGTTTAATGGGACGATCATGGATGGAGACCCCAGATATGTGTTTTCTGTAATCCATCCGAAATGAAGTAGGCAAGATATTGACAACACATGTTTAAGAATTCAGAGCTGTGTTTTCAATTGAAAGCAGAAGGTAGGAGCATTCTATATTTCTGGCACATCAGCAGTTATTTTTCTGTACTTGCAGCATGTTTAAAGGGGTAAAACATGGGAAAATGTACATGTATTCCAAAGATGTATTCAATATGTTTTTTTTCATCTCTACCATGTTCCTTTCTCTGTTAAGCATACAACACGGACTTTTCACAATTTGAATGGGGAAGTGGTTAAGACAGATTCTGGTATATGGATAAATGGCTTTGACTACAGTGGATTATTTCACGTCACTCCTCACATACCTGAATTAAACGACACCGTCAGAGCCCCTTGTGAAGATGCTCCATTCTGCGGATACCCCTGGTTTTTTCCTGTTCATTTTTTGCTCAGGTTAGTGGCATAATATATATATTCTTGTCATCTGCAGGACTGTCTCAAAGCAGTAAAAAAGTAGCAGTATAATAAACTTTAATAATGGAACAAATTAAACTAAAATCTTGCCATACACATGGCAACTTGAGTGACTGAACTTTTATGTTACAAGTGCAAAGCAATTGAAGACCTAAAATAATGGTCTCTAACAAATCCAAGGATATAATTGCTTATAATTTAGTGGAAAAGTCCAAACAACTGAATTTTGGTGGTTGATTGAGCCCATGGGCAGTAGAATGCTTTATTTATTTCAGTAATTATTTGGTGGTGGTATTTGTGATTCCAGTGGTCTCGAAGTGGTTTGAAATTTTCTAAAAATCAGCACATATGGCCATCTTAACTGAACTTTTTCTGTTACAAGCACTTTTCTGATCCAGCAGTGCCTGGAAAATTGCAGTTAATATTTTTTATTATTCATTCAAGGTGCTCAGAAAACTTTAGCATTGGTACTATGTTTAATTATTTTAAGAGTTAGGGAGCCACTCCTGCCATTTTCTTTCTTTAGTTATATCTAAACCCAAAAATAAAAATGTAACATATACTGCAGTTTCCCAATGCTTTGACTACATTATAGTTTTCTTTGTTTCAGGCTTTTTTACCCTTTATTTTCACTTGATCCTGTGAAAAACATATTTCCTGTCCCTTCATGTCTACACTTCTTTCTCCTCTGTAGCTATGGAGGGAGCTATGGTTGTCACACAAGCTGTACTTAAGAATGTCTGCCATTGTTTATCTCCATTACCTGGGCATGATAGGATTAGTACTTTACACCAATAATTTAGTATTGTCTTACGCTTCCACGTCAGCTCACAGAAATTGACAAGGACACAGCATTTCTTGCAAGATTAAGAGGTATTTTCTGCACTTGCTGAAAAAGTTCTTAGCTGAAAAACGAAAACTAAATGGAGTCACCATACCTTAGGCCTTGTTCCCACCTATGTGTTTTTTGGTGTGAACCATTTAACATAGCTTCCTAAGGGACACGTGCACATCTATGCTTTTTTCAGCTGCTCTGTTTTTGGAAAGGGTCAGGGACTTTTTTTTTATACACAAAATGGTGCGGTTTTGGTTCAGTGGACATGCTACAGAAAGGCATGTAGTGCGATTTGGATGCATTTTGCGTTTTGCATTTTTTTAATCTGCCCAACAACAAATCGGCCAAAAATAAAGTATAAAAAAAGCATAAAAAAAGTGTGATAAAAGCATCAAAACACGTGTAAAAAGTACTGCAGAAATGGATTAAAGAGCAAACTGCATAGTTGTGAACCAAGTCTTAGCTCTGGTATTCTGCAGTATATGGGTTTGTTTCACCCAGCTATCTAGCTACTGCTTGATGAGCTTGTGTTTTTATTGCAAATTTTGATTGTGTTTGTGAGGTAGTAATATTTTACCCTGTATTTTACAAGTACTCCTCTTACAGTTCTAGGAACTGCATTTAATAGGTATTATTACAAATAATTGTTCCATTTAATTTTTTTTTTTTTTTTGCTTTCTGTACACACAGTGAACATTTGTAGAAAAGAGTGCTGCACTAGGGTGATGTTTCAATAAAAGAAACTCAATCAAAATGTGCAATAAACACGAGATTATCAAGCATGTGAACCCACCTAACATAGTTATATATAATTACTTCATAGAACCCTTCAGTAGCTCTGCCTACCTGTACCTGTATATATTTTTTTCTGATCTGCCAGTATCACTGCCGAGGGCTGCAACTCTCACAATAATGTGTTAGAGATCTCGGCTCTTAATAGAAGCTTGAAGTCTGCTTGATTTAAGCTATATAAAAAACCTGCAATGCCCATCAGCAAGGCATGTAATATGAAACTATAATCACTGGAGAAAGGGGATACTGTTTTTTTTTTTTTTCCTTTCTTTGCTTTGTTAATTGAAAAGCTTCAACACCCAACAGCAGAGTATAAAAGTATAGTAACTGGAGACAAGAGACTACAGTTATGATTTTGCATCCATTTCCTGTGCCCACCCACCCCTTCTTTCATGGGCTAGTATTGCCTTTCCTACTGTCATCCTGATTTACATTTTCTTTTCTGTAAGGGATCATGGGACTAAATTAGCAAGAAAGAAACTGCAGATAGTTTATGGCCATACAGTGTTATGAAGGGCAGCCTGGTCCATGTTAGTTGGTGAAAGGTGCTGTTGGTGCATGTTGTTGGTGAAAGGTGTTGGGAGCACCGACTGAATAAACAAGCTGTCTGTTGAAGGTGGACACAGGGGACCTTCTTTATATTTTCTTTATTCAGTTGTTAATCTTCTGAAGCCAGTAGAATGAAGACTGAAGATTACGTTATCACACCTACAGTTGTGCTGAAACATTTGCATACCCTGTCAGAAATCTTGACATTTTGCATTGATATTGAAAATATGACTGATCATGCCAAAAAAGTGGTCTTTTATTTAAGGACAGTGGTAATTTGAAGCCATTTATTAAAAAGAAAAACCCACAGGTAATCTCAGATGAAATACAGGCTCCTTTGGTAAAAGACTGTGTGGTTGTTTTAAGGAGCACAATATGATCATACCTAAACAAAAATGAGCTGCATGGTTGAGTTGCCAGAAAGAAGCCTTTACTATGCCAGTGCCACAAAAGAACCTGGTTACAATATGCCCGACAACACCTTGACATGCTTCACAGCTTCTGGCACAATAATCTGGATTGACAAGACCAAAATAGAGCTTTATGGTCACAGCCATAAGCGCTATGTTTGGAAAGGGGTCAACAAGTCCAATAGTGAAAAGAATAACATCCCAACTGTGAAGCTTAGTGGTGGCTCACTGACTTGTGAAAAATGATGGCAAGATGAATGCAGCATGTTATCATAAAATACTGGCATACAATTTGCATTCTTTTGCACAAAAGCTGCACACAGGATGCTCTTGGATTTTCCAGTGCAAGAATGACCCTAAGCACAAGTTGATCCTTCGGTGGTTACAGCAGAAAAAGGTGAAGGTTCTGAAATGGTCATCAGTCTCCTTACCTTGATATCAGCGAACCACTCTGGGGAGATTTCAAACGTGAGGTTCATGCAAGACAACCAAAGACTTTGCATGACCTGGAGGCATTTTGTCAGGAAGAATGGGCAGTTTTACCACCCCCTGACTGCCCACCCAAATTGTAAAATAACAGATAAGGTGATAAAACACCTCCTCACTGCCTGTCATGTGCTCTGAAAAGGACTGTGACTGGAAGGAGAGATCCTGAGATCTGTAAAGCAGGGATTTCTGCAGATCCTGATCTGGACTGAAGAACAGGTGCATGGCTCCTGGGGTTTGCAGTCTGCAGGAGCTAACACAGGAAGAACTTGGCCAGGTATCAGAGTGGCGGCAGAGCATCGGGATGTCTCCTAGGCTACACTTTCGCAGCAGAATTTTGACTCCCCTCTGTACCCATTAGCTCCTCAGGCTCTTTGCCTCCATTTCTTGCAACTCTACACACAGATATCTGGCAGCTTGCCTCTGAGCCTTTCAGTTTTCTCAGGGAGATAGTTGATAGGCTCACAGGTGAATGCTGACAGTGAAGGCATTGAGGGACAGCAAAGGGACCAATGTGGTCCTGGGGCTGCAATTTGCCAAGGTCTGCCTTCTGGGATAGAAATGTTTTTTTTTTTTTTTTCTTTAGATTGTGCTTAAGGCATGTAACGCTGTAAGGTACATTCTTCTACTTTGGAATGAAGGAAGATCAGTTTTCTTCATGACTGGGACAAACCTAGTGAAGAATGACTGTCTTATAGATTTTACTCCACAAAATCTGTTTCCTGGACCTTAGGCTACGTTCACACTAGCCTTATTTGCAAGCGGCAGACAGGTGTTTGGGAAGCGTTTTTAATTTATCCATACCCTTTAAGGGTATAAGTGGACTACATTTCAATAGCTTGTAATGTATCAAATCACTGAGGACTTGACTTGAATATTGTTTTAGATACACTGTTTTGTGACTGTTTGCTTGCTTTACTCAAGATGCACCTTTTACTTTTTTATAACAGGAAAAACTGGTATCTCCCAGCACCCCCTCCTCCTGTCTCTGAGAACATAGAGTTTAAACTTGTATCCAGGGAGGAGATGCCATGGGGTTCTACTCGAATGAACTTTGAGGTTAAAGGTTAGTAAATTTCTCCATATATTTCTGTGGAAAAGTATATATTTTACTGTAAAATTACTTTATGTAAACTGTGCATTGGCCTTAGAGTGCAATAAAAGGCATTATCAGAAGAATGGCTGAGCTTTACTGTGAACAAGAATCTTAACTTCCTCTGTGTCTTTGCAGTGAATTATTTTTACCCTCTACCCAATCTTCTACTGAACCCTGTTCACAATGGTTTGCTCAAATGGATTACTGAGCCCTGTGGATGAATTCTTGCAACTTTGTTTTGCCCAAAAAAAAAAAAGAAAGATGTGCATTTATTGTTTTCATACTCTGCTGCCTGTAAAGCATTGCACCTGTGATCAGCAAACCACCTGCGCAATGCTAGGAACCTGCAGACTCTAAGAACACTGTTTTGCCCAAACTTTGGCCGTAAGCCATATAGGTTTGATTTTTAGCCTTTTAAACTTGTTGTCCATGGGAATATATTTTGCAGTGTGTTCACATACAGTCTTTTTGAAGAACTCCCATTTCTGTGTTGTTTTCATTGATGCCAATATTCCCTACCAGTCTAAGTATTGAAAGCATGTCTCAGCCTTGGAGAATTAGCTCTCTTAAAATTGAGTGTTTTTATTTTTCCCATATGTGCTTGCTGTTTATAGCTAACAATAAATGAAATCATGTTATAGTCATTGCTACCCAGATGTTCTTTTATATGGACATTCGTAATAAGCTCTGCATGGTTTGAGATTACAGGTCCAGCAGAGCATCATTCCTAGTTGGGGCTTCTATGAACCGTACCATAAAATTGTCTTGTAGTAGGTGTCAAAATTTTTGCCCTTTTAACTGTTCCTGCAGTACCATTACTCCAGTCAATTTCCGGATAGTTATCCATTATTATCACTGTCCCAGCCTTTGCAGCCCTTTCGATTTGTGCATGGAGCGGAGTCTCCACCTCCTCATTAACACTGGGAGGCCTATAACAAACTCCAATGATTACCTTTTTATAGTACGCACCGCCATGTGCAGTTCCACCTGTAATGCTTCAGCCTCATCACACTCTCCATCAACTAGGTCCTCTTTCACACTCACTCTGAGATCTCTTCTCACATAGAGGCAGACACCACCACCTTTCCTATTTCCCTTGTCTCTCTGAAAGAGAACATATCCAGGAATATTAATGGCCCAGTCATGTGAAGAATGAAGCCAAGATTCAGCAATACCAATTAAATCATAGTTCTCTTCATGCACCAAAGCTTCCAACTCGCCTATTTTGCTTGGCAGACATCTGGCATTGGTGAACAAACACTTTAATCCATTGACACCTTGTTTACACGTATTTTGCATATTTTATATTTTCATACAAATGGTACCAATTCCACTGGTTGTTTGTAACATGGGAATCTTCTTATCATCTGCCATAGCCCTCTCCCCATCTTTCCCCATTCCACCCATCAATAAGTACTGGCCCTGTCTGATCTAACTACCCCATTATAATCCCAATTCTCCCTCCCCCCTCAATCCTAGTTTAAATACTCCTCCTGCCTTCCCATAAACCTCTCCTCCAGCACAGCAGACCCCCTTCCATTTAGGTGCAGACCATCTCTAGCATATAGGATGCGCTCCAATGAAAAGCCAGCCCAGTGCTCTAGAAACCCAAATCCTTCCCTCTTACACCAGGTCTTTAGCCATGCATTGAGTTCTCTAGTCTTGCCACTGTCTTTCCTGAGTTGTGCATGGCACAGGTAATATTTCAGAGAATATCACCTTGGAGGTCCTTCCCTTCAACTTGCAGCCTGGTTATTTAAATTGATTCTTAAGGAGCCGCCACCTTCCATGTATTCTGTTATTGGTTCCAACATGAACCAAGACAGCTGTGTCATGCCCAGCACCTCCCAGTCATTTAGCAACTTGGTCGATACATGCCGAACCCTGGCACCAGGGAGACTGCAAACCATTCGGTTGAGGTGATCCTGGTGACAAATTATCAGTCCTTCTGATTATAGAATCCCCTACTACCACTAGCTGTCTAGACTTTCCTGCACTACCCTCACCACCCCTCTCAGATGGTCTGCTCTCCCGGCTGTTAGGGATAGCAGTGACATCCAGGGCTGCCACCCCCACATCTTCACCCAACTTGGCAAATCTGTTTGGGTGCACAAACACAGGCCGGCCTTCCTTTTCTGTGAGCCCCTACCACTCCCTCTCATTACAGTAACCCATCTTCCTAACTGATAATCCTGATTAGCCCCTCTGCTGTCCTCATAAATTCCATCAGCTGCCTCCTCAGAGAGCAGAAGACCCCATTCAAGGTTGTCGGTTCTGCCCAGTGTTGAAACTTGCTTCTCCAGATCTCTAACGCAAGTTTCCAGAAGGCCAACCCACTCACATCTGTCGCAGCGGTATCCATCCTGGAGCTGTTGTTCCATTGTTGCATACATGCTGCACACTGTGCACTGCACAAAACCTTCAGCCCTGCTAGCACACATTATCCCAGTTACAATATTAATAGGAAATATCAGTTGTCACTTACAGGTTAGTAGTCTCCTGTTATAATCTACTGTTTCCAACTCCAGTTTTTTAACTCCATTTATCAAATGTCCACTTGGTCAAAGATCCAGCAAGCAAAATACAGGCAAGCTCAAGAATGAGTAAGCACAGTGTGAGTGCTACAGCAATTTATATAGGACCTGTATCACCTGTGACCAATTAACCCTTCCCCTTAATTAGCAGACTGAAGGAAGACAAGGAAAGGAAGCAAATAAAATGCTATTTAAAAAGTGACAAGAAAAAGTGATTTAAAAAAGTAAAAGCTTTTAGCAAGACCCAAAGAAGAAAATAAAACTACAATAACCAGCAGTCAAAAGTAAAACTTTTTCACTCTCCACTCAAATTTCCCACTCTTTTTAGCTATCAGCCAGCAAAAAAAATGCCATTTTGTTTGTTTACTGTCCATTTTGTCAATTGATAAAAAATAAACTATGACTATAATCTGCCTAAGACTTTTGCACAGTACTGTATATCGTACATGGAAACATTGTAGTGGAAAGAGCAGTAACTTATCAAAAACAGAACACTGCAATGTTTTCTCATCTTTTTTTTTTCACCCTAGGACCAAGTCACATGACAATATATGTGCGCTCACATGACCATTTTGTGCTGTCTAGCTGGTCTCTGGGTGATGGGTTACCAGTGCCAAGCAATGGCGGAGACTACTTTGTATATTACTCTCATGGCCTGCAGGCTCCAGTATGGAAATTTTGGATTGAACTGAAGGTGAGCACAAGGAACAACCCTTGAAGGGTCAACATTTCCAAAAGACACTGGCACTGTGGCACTGTCCTTTTGTAATGTAGAAATAAGCTTTTGTGGTGTTGAACAGAAAAGCAAAAGTCTGTTTTCAGCATTGTATCTTTAAGGGAATCAGTCTGGACTGGGCTTAAGTAAGAATCTGAATATTTATTAATTAGAATTGAGCAGATTATCAACAAAATATTTATATTTGCCTCTGTGTTTAGCTTTATGTAAGTTGTCTGAGCTTAACTCTAAGCTCTGCATATCAGGTGTATTAAGTCACCTGATAGATTGTTGCTGTCCACTAGTTTCAAGCTCACACATAGACTATATTGCCAAAAGTATTGGGCCAGCCCTCCAAATCATTGGATTCAGCTGTTCCAATCATCTCTATGGCCACAGGTGTATAAAAGCAAACACCTAGGCATGCAGACTGCTTCTACAAACATTTGTGAAAGAATGGGTTGCTCTCAGGAGCTCAATGAATTCAAGTATGGAACTGTGATAGGTTGCCACCTGTGCAATAAGTCCATACGTGAAATTTCCCTGCTACTAAATATCCCACGGTCAACTGTTAGTGGTATTATAACAAAGTTGAAGCAACTGGGAACAACAGCGACTCAGCCACAAAGTGGTAAGCCATGTAAAATGACAGAGCAGGGTCAGCACATGCTGAGGCGCACAGTGCGCAGACATCGCCAACTGTCTTCAGAGTCAACTGCTAAAGACCTCCAAACTTGGTGTGGCCTTCAGATTAGCACAACATTAGTGCGTAGAAAGCTTCATGGAATGGGTTTCTATGGCCGAGCAGCTACATCCAAGCCTTACATCACCAAGCGCAATGCAAAGCATCAGATGCAGTGCTGTGAAGCATGCTGCCACTGGACTCTAGAGCAGTGGAGACGTGTTCTCTGGAGTGACGAATCATGCTTCTCTGTCTAGCAATCTGATGGGCATGTCTGGGTTTGGGGGTTGCCAGGAGAACAGTACTTGCCTGACTGTATTGTGCCAAGTGTAAAGTTTTTGGTGGAGGGGGGTTATGGTGTGGGGTTGTTTTTCAGGGCTTGGGTTTGGCCCCCTAGTTCCAATGAAGGGATCTCTTAAGGCGTCAGCATACCAAGACATTTTGGACAATTTCAAGCTCCCAACTTTTTGGGATGGCCCCTTCCTGTTCCAACATGACTAAATACCAGTGCACAAAGCAAGGTCCATAAAGACATCGATGAGCAAGTTTGTGCAGGCCAGTCAAGTTCCTCTACCCCAGAGTCCTGACCTCAACCTAATAAAACACCTTTGGGATGAATTCGAACTGAGACTGTGAGCCAGGCCTTCTCATCCGACATCAATGCCTGACCTCACAAATGTGCTTCTGGAAGAATGGTGAAACATTCCCATAGACACACTCCTAAACCTTGTGGACAGCCTTCCCAAAAGAGTTGAAGATGTTATAGCTACAAGGGGTGGGCCAACTCAATATTGAACCCTACAGAATAAGACTGGGATGCCATTAAATTTAATGTTCATGTAAAGGCAGATGTCCCAATACTTTTGGCAATATAGTGTATGTTATCAGCATGACAATAAGTATTGTCAGGGTCAGACAATCTAAACCAGGGGTCTCCAAAATGTTTAACGAAGAGTCCGTTCACAGTTTGGAAGCTGGACTGAACTGAAGTAAAATAATGCCCCAGCAAGTAATAAAGTCCAGGTGTTGGAGGTCAGTAGGAGTAATAAATGCTCTAGCATCAGTGAGAGTGCAAAATAACACTCCTTTCAGCAGGAGTAAAAAAATTCCCTAGGTTCATTGGAAATGATAAATTCCCAGGAATCAGATTTCAGTGGAGTGATAAATGCCCTTGCATTAGAGGTAGTAATAAATTTCCTCACATAACTGGTCAGTAAGAGTAATAAATGCCCCGGTGTCAGTGGTCAGTAGGAGTAATAAACGCCCCAACATCCAGTGATCAATGGTCATGATCAGGGGCACTTCCCTTGAAGACTCCATGTACCATTCCTTGTAGTAACGTCACGGCTGGGACTATGCAGGCAGCATTGAGCAGGAGATCTCTTCATCCTATTCTGCCTGTGTTAAACTGCCAGGTGCTAGAATGCTTTTGCTTACTTGGCACCCACTGCTACTTAGTGGTCCCCTACTCTCAGCTTGCAATGAGAAAGCACTACATGCAGGATGTTCTCATTGCAGGGTTTAGTGTACTAGTTTACAAAAACCACTGATCTAAATGAAACTAAACAAGGGAGCAAATAGTGTATATTTTTTTAGCTAAGCCTGCACTCTTATTATAAATTGACCCAATATTTAGGTTCTTACATAAGAAATGGTATTTATTGGTTCAAAGGAATATGGCAATTGCCCCATCAACCACTCAATTCGTTTTTGATTCTTTAACCTGCACTTTGGAAATGTATGTCAGACCACTCTCAAAAACAAGCAACTACTTTACCTTTTCTCATGTTTCCCCTCACTTCTCTTACCATACAAACAAGAACGTTCACTAGATGATGGTGAGCTCCTATGTAAATATGCAGATTTTTAAAGCAGGTCACCATGATCTGATAAATAATCCTGTTTGCGTGGTGAAAGGAGAGATGAATAAACAAGAGACAAATTAGCTGCCTGTTCTTATTTTTGAGACTGGTTTGAAAATAGATTGCAAACACTAAAAAATTCTCCAGAAAAGAGATTTTGAGGAATGCATCAACTATTCAGAACAAATTAGTTATATGCGTTGATGTTAAAAAGCACCTTATTGTTTTGTCACAGCTTCTTTAAAAGGATAAGTTAACCTTTTAGTAAAAAATAATAAATGTACTTTTTTTTTTCAGGTAAAAAAATGTGCATTTATTATTTTTGTCTGCAGGAACCTGTAGAGCATTGTGCCAGCAATGAGCAGATTCCATGCAGGTCTCCTGCAGATCTGTCAGTATAGAGCTTTTTTAAAAATTTGACAGCTAGCAAAGGGGGAGAAGATCCCCCGCTAGTTGTCAAAGCAGGGAGCGGGAGGCGGTCTGATCGGAACATGTTACACCCTGAATATGGTAACTGAGTGACAAAATCTGTGCTTAGACCTGGAACATGTATAATATGTATCTGTGTATTTCAGGGTTCAGATGATAATTCTGATGGGATGGTTACAGTTGCTGCAGCATCTCACTATTTCTTTGGATCCAATCAGCATTCTCCTCAGCTTGATGCTCTTCTTCAAAAATTCCCAGATTGGAGCTTCCCATCTAGCTGGGTCAGCACATATGAGCTGTTTGTCTATTGATGTCTTTCATCATCATCAACATAGTATGGTATGTGCATGTACAGTGACCACTGTGACCAGAGGGAGGAATTATGGGAAAAGATCAGAATGAAGAAAAGTGGTCCATGGCAGTCCTTTGATCTGCTGCTTAATCCATGGTGATGGTCTAGGGTGATTGGATTATAAAGACCATTTTTTGGGACAGAAAATTATGCAAAAATGATCTTGGAATGAATCCTGTGTGTATCGAAGTATTCAGACATCAGGCACAAAGACTAATAGTGATCCATGGAGTCTTATGAGTTTTCACACTGGACATCCCTGTTTACAAAATGTTAATGTGGTCTTCATTATTGTTACTTTTACTGCCTCTAGTATAATGTTTATTGTATTTATGGGATATCGGTCAAAGCAGTGTAAAATAGATTTTTTACATCAGGTATATAAACATAAGCTGACTGCCTAAAGATCTTTCCATAAATTTGTATACATTATATTCTGAGTGGGCATTAGTTATGGCTATGGAGGAGGGAGAGCACAAATGCCAATGCATCCCCAGCTTCACCTTTATATCAAGGAAACCTTACCAATCTACCAAAATAATCTGTCTTGTCTGTATATACCTGAGTATCGTGGTCTGCTCTGGCCAAAATCGTATGTTTGTGTATTTAAGGTAAGCACTGATGCCTAGAGTAAAGTCAGTGAAAGGTCTGTTTCAAACAATATTCCATCTTTTCACAGTACTAGGTCTGGAGGAACGACCCCAAGCACAGCACTATTGTTTTGATGATAAACAGATCTCCAAGTGTTCTGATAGATCTACCCATCTATAGCAGCCCTGAATACAGTACATTTCAGGAGCAATTTATTCTCAAGGTAGACTCCCTTACCAAATCAAAATGAGAACTACGTATGTAGATGACTGACCCCCTCCCCCATATCAGTTCTAAGCTTTCTGAAACCATTAGGCTTTTGTATTAACAAATGCAGCTGTTGTTTAAAATCTGGTTGATTAAAACTGCATTTTAATCCTACCATCTTGTATTTACAACATGATGACTATAGGGCAGTATTTCTCAACGTTTTTTCAGGCAAGGCATTCTTTAAAAGTATGTCCTCCTTTGAGGCACCCCATTCTAAAATGCAGAAAACTAAACAAATTGTTTTACTTACACAGCAACATCCACACATGTAGGACACCTCATATTAGAGGTATTTTATTCTTTCATAGCAAATCGACCTTTGCCCACAGGTACTGACTAGTATTACAATGTTTCTCCTCTTCAGTTTCTTATCCTCATTCAGCCAGTGCTGATGGAGAGGGGCAGGAAAGGGCAAACAAGGATGCTGTCATCCTCATTAGTTGTTAGGAGGATGGAAAGGTTGGAACAATGTACAATGAGAAGCTGTGGCCTTTGTGTAATTAAAAGGCAGGCTTTGTCCAATAATGGTATACAAGCCAGCAAGTGAATAGTTATTAGTCATTTTGCTAAGGCACACCTGAAGAAACCTGAAGGCACCTCAGGGTGCCTGGGCACCCTGGTTGAAAAAGACTGCTATAGGGTGCAGCAGTGTATATCTTGGAAATCATACAGTTTAGTGTACAGTATGGTAATACAATCCAAAAAGCCTGAAATATGTGTCCAATGCAGGATAACACTGCTTGTACTACTGTGTGTGTGGGGTTTTTTTCTTCCCCCTCTGAAAGGATCTTAGCTGGCCGTATAGCAGTAATTTGGTTTTATACTTCAAATGTGTTTTTTCCTTTTGATAAAAGCAGAGTGGTGTAAACGGTCCATAACCCCCAGGAAATCTATCTGTGACAATTCTGTATAACCAGTCCCCAAAACTATCCAAAGGAGCAAGTGCAATCCTTTTTATTTTTTTTTTTAGGAGAAGGTAATACTCAAGTGCAGTATATTCCAACAAATGTCTATATACCTAATACTGTGCTCAAAGGTGGAATAAATCTGTCAAGTTGACTGCTGAAAATGGTCACCAAAAGTACATCTCTCATTAACAACAGCCTGGTTGTTATTGGAACTGAGACAATTGGCTAACATTCACATTTTAGTGATTACCAGAACCGTGGATTCCAGAAGAGATTCACAGTCGTGTATACTTGTGTAACTGGAATGCTATCTGACAGGCTGCTGGCCAACTGGTTGGAATCATTCTAAAGTTTGTGACCCAGATCAAGAATGACGATTGGTAAGACTGGACAAATGTCAGAATTCCTTATCTGAATACTTATCAATTATTGCCCCAATAATATTAGAGTGAAAGTTCAGTAGTGGGAGCCTCCATGGGTTTGATAAGTACCGGTAGTTAGCAGGTGATCGCTTTTCAAATCCTCATGCTATGTCTTGTTGAATAATTATCCTATTAGTGTTTTATGAAAGCAGCTTGAGTCTATTCCTTTATCACATTAATGAATCTGCATTGCACTGGTTTGCACACACCAAAAACAAGTCCTATGTGAAGCAGGCACATGAAAGTATTTTGAGTGCTCCCATCATGTAGACAGGTATGCACTAAACCATATATTAGAATGTGTTTGACGACACAGATTTTACATAACCCAACATTATTCTAATTAGATGGAATGTGAGCAGAAATTCTCCAGATTGCTTTTATTTCAGTGCCTGATTTATGGTACTTCTTTATGTACAATATCATATTTCCTTCTGTGTACCGTAGCTGATTTTTTTTTTTTTTTATTCTTTAACTGATATTTATACTTAAATCTTACCTTTTATATTTTTTTACAATGTTTTTTTGTTAACCCTCCCCAAAGAAATCTCAGTGTACACTGATCTGATACAAGGTTTGTCTACATGCAGGCTCATTCAGCAAGGTGAGAGAAAAATGTAAAGTGCAGTAACCCCTGGTGACCAATCAGCATTCACTCATTGGTTTTCTGCACAGTGAAACCTGAAATGTTGGTTAGTTGAGTAGGCATCCTCACTGCACTTAGGCTTTGCTGTTTGTATTGCTTACATAAGGCCATTAATAATTTCTCTTCGAACTGTGAGCCGGTTGTACTACTTTTAGCATATGTCTGTTTCTTTAGTACAATTTTATCTGTCTTCTGGGAAACTCTTTATTCTTTGTCACCTATATTGGGTGTATGCCAGGCAAGTTTCCCATTACTTCTCAAGACATATCACATGGAGCTGGCTTAGCTCGGCTGTAGCCACAGAGTTAAAAGTGAATTGTGTGTTCTGTGAATCTAAGGCCTTATTCACATGGGCTTTGAACTGTAGAAGAGCAGGAGGTACAGCACACCATTGCAGAAACATTGTTGCCACCTTTAAATACATGCTAAGTAATGTGCTAGCATCACAACTCCAGGTAATTATTTCTTCTCCCAAAAACCAAAATAGTTCTTCTGACAGTGCCATCTTTGTTCAGGCAGCCAGGGTCACTGTCTACCTAGTGGACTGAGATGCTGACTCAGAGCAGACACAATCATGTATAATTTGGTGCATGTGTGACTCTTGGTTGTATTTAAAGTGGAAGTAAGCTCCTATTGGACACTTGTACCTACAGGTGAGCTTATAATAAACGCTTACCTGTCGGTACAAGGAATTTCTTCTAAACATGCACATTTAGGAGATATTCAGTGCCCTTGCAGCTGATGCTGTTACTGGCACATGCGCTCTGAAGGAATGGCATACCTGTGACGTGGCCTAAACTCCCATGTGCATGAGCGACATTATCATGGATCAGCCAATCAAGCGACCAGAGCCTGCAAACCTAGAAGGAAGATGTAAACTCTGTTAGCGGTGACAGTATGCCACTGGAGGGCTCCATTTTAAGGTAAGTCTTTCATAATGTGCTGTTATGTGATGCCTACTAGCACATTGTGACATTACCTTGCAGGGGAAATTTTTTTGGGCGATTTACAAATGTTTTGACATAGATCAGCCCCTGCTACAGATCCTAAGTGCAGTTCTGTCAGTTTAAACAAGCTACCAGCAGCCTTCACCACTACGTGAAGTTTATTGGAAGCCTGCTAGCAGCTCTTTTTAACCACTTGCCTACTGGGCCCTTATCCCCCCTTTGTGCCCAGGCCAATTTTCAGCTGTTGGACTTTGAATGACAATTGCGTAGTCATGTGACACTGTACCTATATGAAATTTTTATAATTTTTTTCCACATAAATAGAGCTTTCTTTTGGTGGTATTTACTAGCTGCTGGGTGTTTTATTTTTTGCCTATAAACAAAAAAAAAAAGCAAAAAATTTGAAAAAAAAAGGTTTTTCATTGTTTCTATTATAACATTTTGCAAACAGGTAATTTTTCTCCTTTGGTGATGAGGCTGCAGGGATAGGCGTCACTGATTAGCAGCACTGATGGGCAGCACTACTAGGCACTGGTGGGTGGCACTGATTCAGTGCCCTGATGATCGCTGCCGATCCTTCCTCTGACAATTGCCGGTTATCGGCAGTGCTTTCCTCATTTTACTTTCCTTACATTTACCTGTGATCTGCTGTGTCATTGGCTACAGCTGATCACGTGGTAAAAGGCCAGTGTGATTGGCCTTTTACCACATCACGTGATCAGCTGTGTCATGGAGATTTCCAGGGGTGCGCGGTAGGGCTCGTTCTGGGAGGACATCATAGAACTGGACAACCGCGCTGTAACCGTCATTTGGCTATAGCGCGGTTGGCAAGTGGTACTGGGCACTATTTAGTAACTGCTTCCTGTCCGCCTTATAGCAGAAATACTGCTACAGGGTGGCACGGGTGTGCAAAATCACATGTATATGTACATGATTTTGCATTTCAGGGTAGGGGGCGCACACCCTACCCGCTGTGCCATTTGTGGCTGTCAATCACCGGGTCCTGGACGGTAATTACTCGCCGGCACCCGGTGATTTCTGAAGATCTCTGACGGGGAAGACTGTCTTGTTTACTAACAGTTCTCCGTGTCAACTTGGGCACACTGCTTTGGATGACTGTGCACAGCACAGCCATCCAGAGCAGTGTGATTACAGTGAAGCACACTGACACAGTC